GGGACACTCTTGTAGGACACTCTTGCGGGACACTCTTGTGGGACACTGTTGCGGGACACTCTTGTGAGACACTCTTGTGGGACACTCTTACGTGACACTCTTGTAGGACGCTCTTGTGGGACACTCTTGTGGGACACTCATATGGGACACTCTTGTGGGACACTCTTGTAAGACACTGTTGCGGGACACTCTTGTGGGACAATCTTGCGGGACACTCTTGTAGGAAAGTCTTGTCGGATACTCTTGTAGGACACTCTTGTGGGACACTCTTGTAGGACACTCTTGTGGGACACTCCTGTAGGACACTCTTGTGGGACACTCTTGTGGGACACTCTGGTAGGAAACTCTTGTGGGACACTCTTGTAGGACACTCTTGTGGGACACTCTTGTGGGATACTCTTGTGGGAAACTCTTGTCGGACACTCTTGTAGGACACTCTTATGGGACACTCTTATAGGACACTCTTGTGGGACACTCTTGTAGGACACTCTTGTGGGACTCTTGTGGGACACTCGTGTAGGAAACTCTTGTGGTATACTCTTGTAGGACACTCTTGTGGGACATTCTTGTAGGAAACTCTTGTGGGGCACTCTTGTAGGACACTCTTGTGGGACACTCTTATAGGACACTCTTGTCGGACACTCTTGAGGAACCTAAGGGACACTCTTTTGAGAGACTCTTGTTGGACATTGTTGCGGGACACTCTTGTGGGACACTCTTGTGGAACACTCTTACGTAGGACACTCTTGTGGTACACTCTTGTAGGACACTCTTGTGGGACACTCTTACGGGAGTGAAACACTCTTGTGGGACACTCATACGGGACACTCTTGTGGGACACTCTTGTAGGACGCTCTTGTGGAACACTCTTGTGGGACACTCTTGCGGGACACTCTTGTAGGAAACTCTTGTGGGATACTCTTGTAGGACACTCTTGTGGGACACTCTTGTAGGACACTCTTGTGGGACACTCCTGTAGGACACTCTTGCGGGACACCCTTGTGGGACACTCTTGTGGGACACTCTTGTAGGAAACTCTTGTGGGACACTCTTGTAGGAAACTCTTGTGGGACACTCTTGTAGGGCGCTCTTGTGGGACACTCTTAAGGGACACTCTTGTGAGACACTCTTGTGGGACACTGTTGCGGGACACTCTCGTGGGACACTCTTGTGGGACACTCATACGGGACACTCTTGTGGGACACTCTTGTAGGACACTCTTGTGGGACACTCTTGTGGGACACTCTTGTGGGGCACTCTTGTACGAAGCTCTTGTGGGATACTCTTGTAGGACACTCTTGTGGGACACTCTTGTAGGACACTCTTGTGGGACACTCTTGTAGGGCAATCTTCGTACGAGATTGCCTCCAAAAGTCACACGTCAAGTCTCCAAAACGAGCGTTTCGTACGAGACTTCCTCTCACATGTCAAGTCTCCAAAACGAGCGTTTCGTTCGAGACTTCCTCCAAAAGTCACGTGCCAAGTCTCCAAAACGAGCGTTTCGTACGAGACTTCCTCCAAGACTCACATTGTCTGCAAAACGAGCATTTCGTACGAGACTTCCTCCAAAAGTCAAGCGGAAACGACCCATCGGAGCACACACATCACGCAGCCCTGCCAAGCAGTTTCGCGAGCCCAGCCCCTCCAAAGAAAACCCGCTCACACGCCAATCCCACTGTGACAGCGACATTCACCTCTACCACAACTCACGACCTCACAATTCCCTGCGCCTGCCACGAATCTTTCCGCATCCACACGTCTAACGCGCACAAAGTACTGCGCCTGCCACGAAATGTCACCTCCGTCACACCTCGCAACCTCGCGATTCCCTGCGCCTGCTACGAAAATCGCACTTCCACACCTCAAAATCGGCACAAAGTACTGCGCCTGCCACGAAAAGTGACAATATCATCTCATGCGAGCTTCAACAAAATTTGCACCACACCACACGTTTGGAATGATTTCGACCCGTTCTGAGCACACTCCCATCCACCAAAGTCTGCATTTCAGCTGAGACTTGTCACGAAAACAGAGCTTCCATGCCACACCGTGAAATGCAAATCCCAATGGCACGGCCACATCCAACACGCCAAAAACACGACTCTCCAAACGCTAATCCCAATGGAACTGCGCAACAAACTGCGGAAAACGCTGCACCTGCGCAGTGAAATCATCCTCCACACTTCAACATCTTACATTTCCACACGATTCCTCGCTATTTCACACGAATCTGACACGTCACGTTTCCATCCGAAACCCTCTCCAAAAGCTTCCCCCAATGGCAGCGAACGGTGCGGACGGTTGCGGACGGTTGCGAACATAGAAACAACGGGTCGCGAACAAGGCTCTACCCCCAGACCCCCAGAGTTAAACGAGAACCCTTCGCTAAGCATTCGGGAAAAGAAACAAACATGAACAGCAACATTAAATTGCGAGCCTGTAGTCTGGGCGTCCTGGACCAGTCAGCCTCAAAGACACAAAGAGATAGGGCCATGCGGGGGTCTCCTCTACTTCTATTATCAAAGAACTAATTCATTATGCTATATACTGCTATTACTATTACTATTGCTAGAGTTGCGCGGACGTCCGTACTTTCATTTTTTCAAAATGAGGCCGGCACAATGAAACAGGAAAAGTTGCTCATGAAAGCCGGGGATATTCTATGCTGGGCTCCTTTAGTCCGATCACGATCACGCCGACGGGCTTTCCACATCACGCCGACGGGCTTTCCACATCATGTCTAAGAGGCCGACGAGTCCATCTTCTCCTTTACAAGGCGGACTTTCCAAGGATCACGGTCAAACTAATGGCAGGATTTTGTCACTCGGTCCAACCAAATGTTTGCTTGCCAAAAGCAGCTGCGCTGATCTTCCTTTCCACGTGGCTCAGGCGAAGTCACTTCTTCTTCACAAAATGCTTCAAAAAAAGGCCTCTCCTTCAAACCCAAAAGCAAGGTTCGCAACGTCTCGCGCTGGCCCTGCAAGCGCTCGAGAGAGAGAGAGAGAGAGACCACCGGCTTTGGTGAGATCGATGCGCTTGGCAGGGTGACCACACAATCAGCCAGTGGTGTGACATGTTGTGAGCACCATGGGTTGAGCTTTGTAGCATTTGCGGGGTGCTATCCAAGATATAGTCAATCTATGTCAATCCCTGTCAATACTGCCAGGCCACAACACTGTGCCGATTGGCTCAAACTGGCAATCCTGAATCATTGTTGACATTGAATTGTAAGTGGCTCAAGAAAGCACAAAGGGTTGGCTTCAGCTTGTAAACACGACTAGAGCATACTAAAGCACCCACAGGCTCTTCAGCCTGTTAAGCCTGGTAAGCCAAAACAAAAACAATGCAAGCATCCGCTGTAAGATCTGTAGGTATCGGCACCCGTTCCCCCGTTGGTGGCATTCCATCCGGTCAGCACGTCCGCGCCTCCGAGACCTTGGGGTCGGTGAGCTTGGCCATGATGGCCTGTCGCGGTGGGACAGCCACCCGATGCGCGAGCCCCGAAACAGAAGGCCAGGAGCCCCGTTCGTAGCGTTATGTAGCGTCCTTGTTCCTAGTACTTAGTAGTAAGGCCAGGAGCCCTAGTAAGCGTCTTTGCTCCTGCCTTGATCTGGTTTGTGAAGTTGGCGAGGAGCACCGTCTTCCTGGACCTGAGGATCTTCCAAGCTTGACTGGCTCCTCATGAAACATCATTAAGCAGAGACTCAATCAGGACCAACTCTGATTCCTTATTCGATCAAATCTCATGCGTCCAAGAAACGCCACCTCTTCACGTTTGACTTTGTTTTCTTCAAGCCTTCGCCGTTCCTGCACTCATACGGGCAGTGCACACGTAACCCGAGTTGCCCCGCGCTACCGCTGCTTAAATCAAAACTCGACACAAAGGAATGAATCATGAATCATGTGTTTGTGCAGATTACAGTATGTGTATATATATATATGTATTCATCATATCATATACAGACATGGCTGATATTATCAACACACCCATGTCACGGGTTAGCACCCACACCCCGTTGGCGCCCGGTCAGTCCTCCGGATCAGTACACAGGACCCGGTTTTCCACCGGCCTCGGTGGCGTTGGAAGATCACTGCCAAAGAAAGGTTCAACTCTCACCTGCTACCTTGGTTCTACACCATCCTTGGTTCTACCGTCAATCGAAGATTTGAAACTACCTATGTGCGGATGCAGCAGTTTCGAAGGACACGCTTCTTTGCAATCAAAGGCCCCGCCGTGCCTGTCGGACTTGCCCTTGCCGCTGCCCTGAACACTTGGGAGGTCTTCCACAACTTTCAAGAACCATGAGGCGCCAGAAATTTTGTTTATTTAAAAAAAAAAAAGTGGGACCAGTGGGACCCTCCAAGGTCTGTAGGCTGCTCAGGACCAACTCAACTCCACGTTCCCTCAAAAACGCTCATCCGTGCCTTGCCCTTGGGACGAAGCAGCCAAGCCTCAGCATCGGCTTCAAGTGCAATCTATAAAGGTCAAAGGGATCGACCATGACACCGTCATGCACCATCCATCATTTGCTCCTCCGCTGCACTCTGACAACGTCCGAAGCCCCGCAGGATGTAAAATGATGAAAATATATCATATCCAAATCCCTTTAACCTGAGGGAGTCCTTCTCCCTTTGTTTCAGCTCCGAAACGCGCGAGAGGCGGCGAAACTGGCTGTGCGCCGATAGATTCATCGGATCCATTTGGAGCCCATCGGATGAGGGTCTGAAACCATCCCGTCCCGTCCTCCGTCCGAATCCATCCGTAGGTCCCGCCCCATTGGCAGAACTGTCGCAGGTTCTGCCACCGAGTCTGACTCCTCATTCAACGGGTTCACTGGTAACGGCCTCACCGACTCGGATCGGCTGAGGCACCTCAAAAGTCAACAGGCTCACTGTACAGGCTCCGGGCCCCTCAGGCCGCACTCAGGCACTCTGCTGCTCAGGCCCCGCCCAGGGCGAAGCACTTGGCTTTGGGGCGAACGTCCTGGAGCCATCGGCAGCAGCTTAACTGCAGGATTCTTGGGAAGGAGACGTGAGCAAATACTCAAACCAAATATATAAGTGATTATAGTATATTATAGTTATAAGTTATAAGTGTATCACTTAATCCTTGTCAATACGGAGCTGGAACTCCTGCCAGGCCCATTGCCTGCTAAAGATGCGCTCTCAATGTGATAGGCCCAAGCGGTGTTCGGGCAGCACCAGACATTGCTGACAGGCCAAAAAGTCACGACAGACCCAACTCTGAACAAAGGTGACCACTCATCAAGTTCCTTTCATAAGTTCGACACTCGACATGCTGCGATTCTACTGGCGTGTGCCCTGAACAACGCGCTAATGGGTCGTAAACGCGCGCCGACGATCGAAATCCCTTTGTAAACGGACCCATCATGTCCATTTTGTCCCACGCACAGTGCGGCTTCAGCTAAACAGCCATGCCACTTTGTCCGCAGCAAAGCCTAAGAAGTCTTTCAGTCAGCAGACCTGGACTGTCCTCAGCGGAACCATGGGGTGTGATGTCGATGACAATGTTGTGACAATGTTGTGAAATCGACTTACCCCAACGCCGCAACGCCACCCAAATTCAATCACACGACTCATCGATGACAATGTTGTGACGTCGACGACAATGTTGTGACATCGACGACACTGTTGTGAAATCGACTTACACCCACCCCGCCCACCCACCCCATTTTAATCACACAACTAATCGATGACAATGTTGTGACATCGATGACAATGTTGTGATGTCGACTTACCATACGGGGTGGGTTGCACGAAACCATACCATATATGGGTAAAAATGCACGTGAAACCTGCTTGTGCTGGGGCAAAGCCGCGTTGCGTGCGCGTTTACGTGCAATCGGGCCCTGAACAAAGAACTCAAGCACATTCAGGTCAATGTTCAACCTGAAGGAGACCTACCTGTCCTTGAAGTGCTCATTGCGAAGCAGCATTGGTACTGTGTCGCTGCCTGGAATCACCTTCACGAGGTCCTTTTCGACATCACAAATGCTCACGTCCTGAAGAAGGTTCAAGGGTAGAAGACTGACTGCTCCAAACAAAGACCTTATCAGTCCAGATGTTTCTATTCCACCCTGGGAGCAGGAGGGAGACGGCCACCTTTGCAAGTCTTGAACATCTTCAAACGCACGAGATGTCGAAAAATTGCAGGAAGTCAATGAAAAACGTAATGCAAATTGAACCTCTATATCAATGTATTGAACCCATGAATGCACACATATGACACATATGCACACCAAAAGAATCATCCAACATGCCCTGCCAAACTTGAGCTTGCTTCCAAATGCTTCCAGTCCTCATCGTGCGACTCCACATGTACGCCATGGGGATCGTTGGAGAGCATCAGCCGCCCCAGGTGTGGCACTTTCAATTCTTTCGCAGCAGCTTGGCCTCCAGCTATGTGATTCCGCCCAGATGTGTCCCAAGCTTGAGGCCACCGGTCACCCCCGAAAAAATACGCATTCCAATCTCCACGGCGCTGCTTTTTCTGTGGAAGAAAGGCACGGCAAAGTAGGAAGTCCCATGAAATCTCCACCCCGCGACCCTGCGCCTGTGCGGATATAAAATGTTGCGCGTGGCTCTTGCAGTCCACCTGACCTTAGCTGTCAGCCATCCAGCCGCGTCCTTCCCATCACGTCCTTCCTTGGATCTCCGAGACCAACCCCAAATCCAACAGGTTCACACAACGTAACTCATCCGGATCCTTATCGGTTCTGGCATGTCTCCGCCCAGTGGCACAAGGACATGTTCACCTGGGAGCACCCGATGCTCCACCACCTGCACGCTGTAACTCCCACCACGCGGGACCCGTCTGCTACCACCGGGACCCGTCTGGAAAATTGCTTTGGGCCTTCATGGACTCCAATTGCTAAGGCTTTTGGGTTCAAGTGCCTAAGATCAGAAGCGAAAAAAAACACACACGCCCTTCGTTTCAGCTTTGTATTGAAGGCCATCACACCAACGAACTTTCAATGCCAAACACTCTCGAAACATCCACGATTCAACGGTGCCAGCGTCCCGCCTGGAGGGGTGTCGGTCGATGGTGATGTTTGGCTTCACAAATCAAAGCTGGCGTCTGCATTTGGTTCACCACCTCAGCACCATGTGGCATCACAGCTCACCCCATGCAGCGTCTCGGTTTCGCAACATCCGCATCTCCGATGCTAAGCATGCTTGCGCCTCAAACGACTGCAGGCAACAATTCTCACACATAGCCCACATGTGTCCACCTGTCCCACTGTGCAGTTGGCCCAAAGTCATTCAGTTCTGGAGCTTGGCTTCGGCGAAAAGTGAAGCAGCACCCTTGTCTGGCAAGCGGCAATAATCTCACTTGTCCAAGGACTCACATCCTGAGGAGGATCCACAGCCACTATACAGACGTACAGACTATATGTCCCATGAAATTGACCCTCCTAATTCTCTAGACTTGATTGATGGCTGAAAGTCCCTCTATTTGAGGGAGCAGGTGCATCTCGGACTCTACATCGTGTCGAACTTCGGAGTTGTGCAGTTGTAGAAAGACCTGCGTGTTGAGTTTGCTGTCTTGCCATCAAGAACAAACATGGAGGATACCCAAGAATCATCAGGAACATCACAAAGTCGATGAACAACCACATGCTCTTAGGAGCTCTTGGTCTCCTTACTTTTGAGTGGAGCCGGATTGAAAGCTCGTGTGCGACTTCTTTCAGTTCTGATCCAAGAGATCAAAAAGAAGATCTCAGGATAGGAACCTGGACACCAAATCAACCACGTCCGTTCATTTCACCGGAGAAATGGACCACGTCCGTCTTGCCGTTTAGACAGAAGTCCTGGAAGCGCAGGTGAGATCCAGTGAGCCCCATCGCGCGAGCAACCACCGCAGGGTTTGACTCCGCGTCCCGACTCCCGAGCCACTCGAGCCTGAAACGAGCAAACAGCAACGTGCAGAGCACAACTCACATGGTGATGGAATGTGATGGATCTATTTACATGCAGGCTTTTCCACAAGGGTTCTTCCCCAAGCCACGAGGGGGTTCCTGAAAACAAAGATGGCCATCCTTCAGCAAACAATCGGATGGACAAACCTCCCACCCGGGTCCGGGTCAACAAATGGTTGAAGCTCAGCTTGCTGCGACCATAATCTCGGGCCGGTCCAGCACTGGAACGACTGCAGCAGCCTGAATCAAGAAGTGCTCGGGATTTGACCAATGGGATCTCGATCTGTACACTTTCTGTTCACTCAATGGATCTCAAAATCTTCAGCAAAAAGTGGTGGGTTCAGTTCTCCACCTGTGTGCAGCTGGCGGAACTGTGTTTGGCAAATGTGCTGGAAAAACAACGTGTCGGCGCGCGCACCGCGCGCGCCTCCGCCGAGGCGCGCGTGGCAAACTGCACGTAGGCTTTGCCCTCGCATGGCGACTGGGTCAAGTCTGCTTGGGTCAAATGCCTGGTTCTTTGGACATCCGGGACATGAACAGAATACAAAAACAGGTTTAGATCCCTGTTTTTGGCCTCTCGTTTGACCCGAAACCAAGTGATACCTGAAAGATCCTGTCAGAGGGAATACACTTGAAGAAGTCATGACACTTTTGCGAGCGCCCAGTCCTCGTTCACCTGTGAAGTGATCTTGAGCACCTGGCATAGAGAAGGTGATCAGCGACCAACAAAGCGCCCCGTGTTCACTTCTTCACTCGTGTTCGTTAAGAAACCCCACCAAGTAGTCGGACACCGAAACACCCCCCACCAGTGCTTCTATTTGGCTCCCAGTCGCGGCCACACCCCGGATCTGCCTCCCCGAAGTGCCGGAAGTGCCGGTTCAGCGCGTCTAAGGTGTTGCACTGGCCGCGAAGCGAACTGGATTAAGGCACATCAGTCTTGTGATCAGTTGATGGTGTCCGTTTTGTGTTCTCAATAGAACTACGGCCAAGAAGAGGCTGATGGTCAATACATGTTTACACTACTTTACATACGGTTGCTGGGCGGATCTTCCTCGCGAAGGTTTCCTCGGCAAAGGGTGGGGAAGCAAGGAGATGGAGGAACAGCGATGCTGCCGGCGTCAGCAGCGCAGGAAAAAAACCGGAGAAACACACACTTAGATGGTTGCTCGCAAGAGCTAGGATCAGAGTGAAGCCCCCCTTGACTTGAAGAAACTGAAAGGTGCACAAACCGAAAGGCGAAGAAGTCCGTATAGTTGAAGGTGTTGAACAATTTGTTTGATTGCATTAGCCGCTTACTGCAAAACACAGGATTGGACAGCTTGTTCAACAGTTGAAAAAGATTTAAAGGGCTGGTACACATTCAGGCATCCCTGAACGCTTCCATCAGTCTTCCGTAGCTTCGTTGGGCAACGTAGGAAGACCGGTTGTTGCCCCCCCTGCTTCTTTTTCTGCAACACTGCCTCTTCGTTCTCAATTAGTGGCGACGCCGTTGGTTCTAGCGGCCTCTTGTTCCTAGTAGCAAGGCCAGGAGCTACTAGTAGCATCCAGCCTTCTAGTAAACACCTGCAGCAGGCATACTTACCAGGCACGAACCTTGGAAACAGGTGTTGACACACACACACACACACTATGCCGCAATCGGCGCTCTGCACCCCTTGCGTTACACGACTTTGTGCAACAGCTTTGTACACACAAGGCCGATGTCGGCGCTCCGGAAAATTACTGAGCACCTGAAAAGCCTTAGAAAGACAGACAAAGAAAACAAAACAAAAGCACACGAAGAGGGCAAGAAAGAAAGATAGGTATAGTGACGAGGCCCACTTAGTTAAATGAAAATAGTTATATAGCGAGCGGGACTTTTGTCTTAAACCGCCCGAGTAGCTAGGAGTAGGACAGGAGAAACAGAAGGAAAGGCGCCAACACACAAGTGTGTTGAATTTCCTTCTGTTACCTTAAATAGCAGGTGGGACAGCAACAGAGGCCAGGGGCAGGGAGGTAGGGGGGAGGGTGGGTTAGGGTGGCCCGAAGGCATTGCCATCACTGGCATTCAAGCATTCAAGTAAAGCCGATTTGGGCCGGCGCACCCTTGTCTGAAAAGCACCTGGAGCCTAAAGAAAGGCCTCAAGAAACGAAAAGCAACAGAAAGAGAGAAAGAACCCAAGAGCATGACAAGCGCATGCACCTGAAAAGCTACCTAGGTTGGTGAGCATGCGACATGTACCTACATGCAAATCCGAACTGGAGTTGATCTCAGTAAGCCCTGAGGCGTTTGATCAGTGGTATCACTCAGAGCAGGCAATCCAAAAGTGATCGAAAGAAGTCCAAGAGTGGAATCGGAAGATCAGGGTGGGTCCTCCAGGTCCTCTGTCTATGCACATGCAGCGCCCCTCGACGGGGATCACACCACAGCCCTCAGTGGGACTCTGTGGCGAAACACACTTAGATGGTTGCTCGCAAGAGCTAGGATCAGAGTGAAGCCCCCCTTGACTTGAAGAAACTGAAAGGTGCACAAACCGAAAGGCGAAGAAGTCCGTATAGTTGAAGGTGTTGAACAATTTGTTTGATTGCATTAGCCGCTTACTGCAAAACACAGGATTGGACAGCTTGTTCAACAGTTGAAAAGAAAAAGGCAGGTACACATTCAGGCGTCCCTGAATGCTTCCACCAGTCTTCCGTAGCTTCGTTGGGCAACGTAGGAAGACCGGTCGTTGCCCCCCTGCTTCTTTTTCCGCATCCCTGCCTCTTCGTTCTCAATTAGTGGCGATGCCGTTGGTTCTAGCGGCCTCTTGTTCCTAGTAGCAAGGCCAGGAGCTACTAGTAGCATCCAGCCTTCTAGTAAAAACCTGCGGCAGGCATACTTACCAGGCACGAACCTTGGAACAGGTGTTGACACACAATTTCCATAGTAACTCCATAAGTATCCATGAGTATTGAAGAATCTCAAATATCATCAAATATCATCGAAATTGAACTTGTACCAACTACCAAAATGTATGGAGCTGCATACCCGTTCTCAACTAACCCAGCCAAAGTTGCATTCCTTCCCCACACCCAATGGGCCCACCTCAGGGGGTACGTTGCTCAGGACAAGACCGTCCGATCCACGTCCCTGGCATCTCCCAGTGGTTGGGTGCCGCTTGCAGGTGGCACAGGTGTCTGATGGTGATCACCACAGGTGACACAAGAAGTTGAAAAGCCTTCATGAGGAGCTCACGGAAACTACGAGGTGAAGAAGTGCCAGAAGTGTTGGGAAAATATGTTTTTGTTATCAACTTCCTCCAACTCCGAGACTTCCCCGCCCTTGGTCCAACAGCCCCTCCAAGCCCGAGCGAACTCAAACGCTTGCGCTCGGGACTCCGAAGCTGGAGCTGTTGGAATTGCAAGATGAATGTGCGGATTCTCTTCATTATGACTCTACTGAAACTACTACTATCTACCTACTACTTCAAGCCTTTGGACCCATATATTTTTTGGAATGGAGTCTCCATGACTCTCCCAAAAGTGTTTCAAAACACCTGTAGCCTCCACACCCCCTTGGACCTCATCTTCGAACTTCCCCTTGCCCTGGCATGTTGTTAACACATCCTCGCACTGAAGTCAAACAGAATTTCGCTTCTCCAATGGAGCTCCTGAGATCCACCATTTCTACTGAAACTTCGAGGCCGAACCACTCCGGCCAGCAGATTTGCTCCCTGCTGCGGTGTCAAAACAAAGTACCTCTGCCAAGCATCAAAAGGGCATGGGCCTTGTAGGCATTGACCCACATCCCGAGCCAGACAAACTCGTTTTCACCGAAATCGATCTGCTAGTGCCGCTACTGCCACTGGTTCATTGCCATGCAGAACGGGCCCAACACAACACGGGTTGGGCCTTGTATTCCACCTTAAAAACCCTTCACAAACACTGGTTGAGCTTCAATAATCGTGGGGAGCTTTTGGCGGGATCTCCGTCCGGAAGAGCATATTTGACAAGCAAGCAATTCAGAATTGACCTCTCAAGTTGCGGAATTCTTGACAATTGTGAAGGTGAACAAGACCTTTTAGCAACCAAAAAAAGGGTCCACAACGCGATTCTTCTAGAAAGCTCCCTCTGCTCATGTCCACACACGGCAACTCAGAACTCCTACGATAGATCCGTCACTTGCATAACCGCCGTAGATCACGGGAGCCACAACCGCTTCATCACTGAAGTTAAAAATAAAGTGATTCTGGAGCTTCTCCTCGGAGCGATCGGACGCTACGAACGGGGCGAAGAAGCTCGTGACTGAAAGCGCATGGCGCCGAAGATGCTCAAAGGACAGTTGGCTCGTTGGCTCGTCAGTGGTCAGCAGTTTGCTATTCATTACCGCTTGGTAAACCCAATCATGCGGAGTTGCATTCTCTGGTCGCACATTCTGACAGGAATTCTGGCAACTCTCAAGCCAAATCATCCAACTTAAATCTCTTGCAGTTTGAAGTAATTGTACACACAAGGGTGATAAACATGCTTCTTCTCGTGCACAACTGCACAACCCTCACTCTCTGTCCCAAGTCTTCCAACCCCAAATGCCCTTGCATTGTTTCAACCGAAGGAACGTCCATAATCTTGGTGGCTTTCAGGATTTGCTCCTCAGAAGCCTCATGATCCTCGGTGAACTTCACTCATTCATCTATTGATCGATCAATCGATCCATCCATCCACCCATGTACCTTCCCTTCTACCAGAAGGTTTCTGAGGTTTCTGCCATTACTCATTGACGCATTACTCACTTCTCTTTTGTGTTGGTGTCGATGTCACTCTTTCAACTCCTAAGAAGCAACATTGGGCGAGGCTCCCCAGCATCTGCATTTTTGTTGAAACCGAGCCCCAGGTAGTTCTTCCACTCCACCTTTTCCAGCGTGGCGACGGACCAAAGGCCGGACATCTCCTGAGATTGGGCGTTCGTCAGCTGTTGGGGTCACCTATTCTTCTGTAGGAGACCTGCAGGGCATTGAAAAGCCGTTTGAGCCGAATGGGCGTCAGACATCCGCGAATGAAATCCTGCGTTTGTGGTGGTGACAACTTTTGTGTATTTGTGTGCAAGGGGCGGGACACAAATGTTTAATGTTTACCTGGTTCTCCCTCGATTTCCGGGTGGTATCATTGGCAAAATCGTCAGAGACTTGCAAAGACTGGTTTGGTCTGGCCTAGGATTCTGAGGAAAATGCGTCCATCTCATAGACTCATAACATTAGAAGAGAAGGATGGAAGGGGAACAATAATGTTCCCAATTCTCTTGTCTAGGCTATGAGACGGCGTTGGCCCAGCCTTCTGGTGACCTTAAGAACTAAACAAGGAATAAAGGAAGGACACAAAGCAAGTTTCAAACAACGTTCACCTCTTCTCCAAGGCTCAGGATCATTCTCATCCTGTTCACCCAGATCCTCCTCGCATTCCTTCACGATCAACAAAGCCTCGCAGCATGGACGCTACCGAGGCTCGCAGGATCGATGCCACCGACGGATGCGGAGGGACGCCGGGGCAACGAGAGTTGCCGTCCTTTTTCGAGACTCGCCCAATGCTCTGTACAAAATTGGCAAGCAAAGAGCCAAGGGCTGCTGTGTGGCAAAAGGAACCAAAACCAAATTGCCTTCCAAAGGACAAAAGATTGGACAAGGTTCCATCATCAACGGATGGCTGTACAATTCAATACTACTGTATATTTACAGTATTAAGACTCCCTGTCAGAGTCAGACTCCAAATCAGCATTCCGCTGGGTTCGTTGCTGGGCTCTACACGGCTCAACAGTCTTTGCAGACAACTCTCTCACGAGAGTTCAGATGGAAAACAACGTGCAAGAAGTCCCACTTCAGCAGGAGCAGCATTGTGATGCGGTTCAAATTCAATCTAGCATCCGCCTTGCCCTGTGCAACCTTCCTTGAGCACGTTGGGTGCCCTCTTCTTGTTCGTATGAAGACCAATTTTGGCCGGAAGGCAAGTGGGGTTTCCAGCGGTGCTACTAGATCACTAGGCATGGAAAGGGGTTTCACTGTTTGAACAGTTGAGATCGTCTGCCTCAAACTGTCAGGGAAGGAAGCTCATGCAGACTCATGCTGAGACCGCAATGAGCACGACGCCTGGGGAGTGGATCACTGACAGCTTCGAGTGATTGAGGAAAGTGGCTCCGTCTTCTAAGCTTCGTCTACTTTATGCCAAGGCGCGTCTACTCAGTTTTGAAGTTGGGATGAGTTTGGAACATGTTTTGTCCCTGTTCAAAACACCAGAAAAGAATCACATGAGCACAAGCTGGCTGGAAGTAGAAATAGCTGTGCGAGACCTCACCTGGAATCCGCAGAAGTAGACCCAATCCCGCGAAGATGCGAGCCCAATAACTTTCCACCTCTTTGAAGCAACAAATGCCAATGACCAACCTCGGTCCATTCCGCGTTGCTCTTTGAGCGTTCGTGGCGGAAGTTGGTGAGTGCTGAAACTGGTGCACTTGTCCACCAAGCTGAAAAAAAGGGTTGTCAAGCATTCTGGCCAAGCTACCCGATGACTCCAGGCAAGCTTGCAACCACTGGGAAGGCAACCGAAAAGCCCAAGTCCAAGTTGGCCTGAAACCAGGCGACCTGAAAGCAGGGCGTCACAACCAAGGCGTAGCGCCACAACCAAGCCGACTCACCTCTGTCAAAAGATTTGTCCTTCCTACTCCTTGTGGGTTGCACTGGGTTGGGTATCTTGGGAGCTAGGTAAATTGCGCCCACCCTCGGCTGTCGAATCAATCGAGAAGGGCCTGAGCGATGCCCCAGATCACCCCAGACCAAATTGCGGGCACAACGATGTTGCAAGGCGTGTAGGCGTTCTTCCTCATGGTCCCAACCTCATGTGCCAAGGCCCAGACTTTCTCATCGTGCATCTGCGTTCAGCGTCCACGAAAACAGCCGGCAGGACTCGTCTTTACGTCTTCATAGGTCCATTGTAGAATCTTAGGGGTTAGCTGTAGCACGTTTTGGGATACAGTAGGTTCTTTAGGAGGTTGATCTCTAATCTCCGGGTGAGGTCCAGGTGCATAGTTGGGATAGAATTGGCCTTTGTTCTGTTCCTTGTTTGGTCGTTCTTTCTTGTCTTGGTCATCATTTGGCCTTTATTTGGGCCTAGATTTGGTCGTTGTTTGGCCCCTTGATTTGGTCGCTATTTGGCCTTTATTTGGGCCTAGATGTTATCTTATTTTGGCCGAGATTTCATCGTTATGTTTTGTCTTCTTGATCGTTATTTGGTCTTTATTTCACAGTTCTCATAAAGTGGCCTTTCCGACCTGGCTACTCTCAATATCGTGTGCCCACTGCCTCAACCACCGCACAACATGCATGAACAGTGTTGGCTGAGGAGCGTAGATGAGCAGAGCGGTCGTGGAGGTGAGGAAAATACCAATGAAGTGACTAAAGACATAGTCCATGATGTAGGCGCTGTGATGACCTCCTAGGCTGCCCTCCTTGAGAGCCACCGGCAGCACAAACGTGGTCCCGAACAGGCTGCCTGCGATGATAGACATCATGGAACCCAGGAAGAGCTGGAAGAAGGTGGTTTCTTCCGGAAGTCCTGTGTACCAAGGCGGTAGAAATCTGCAGAACCACAGGGTGTCTGGGGAGATCTGTTTTTCTCAAAACTCAGATTCCACAACACTCTGCTTGCAAAGAATTCACCACAAAAACATCGGAATTGACATGCGAAAAGTCGCTTTCTTCAGGAACGTGTTGGAGGAACTCGCCGGAACTTGCCGGCATGACAAACAGCACATGTCAGGAAGGATCGGTCCTGTAAGCTTGTTGGAACCCTCTTTATGTGCAGCTTCAAGGTCCCTGGAGGAACTGCGCACCCGCGGATGGACCAGGCCTCCGACCCATGAATGGGCACGTTCCTTGGGAGACCGGAGCTACCTCTCACATCGCTGTGGCACACTGACACTAGATTGTTACTACTAGTAAGGCACTTGTTTCTAGTAGCTTCTTGTTACTACTAGTAAGGCACTTGTTACTAGTAGCGATGCACTTGTTCCTAGTAGAGTAGAGTTGACACACCCAAACTTGCGGGGTGAACATCCCTTCAGTTGACGAAAAGAGTTCGGGCAATCCAGCCAAAAGATGTGTCAGTGTTTAGCCTGAAGCTTGGCAAAAGCTATATATATATAACCAGAACAGTTTCACCTGAGAGAACATAAAATCATCAGATTAGCTGGATTCAAAAAAACAAAACAACACAAACATATATAACACATCAAAAGCAAACATTCTTTGCCGGCATAGCCGGCTTTCCATTCCATGACTCCATCTGCGGCGGGTGGACATTGGGAACGATGGAAAACATCCGCGTTTCGGCTCCATCCATTGCTTCTTCGGGGAGCCCTGCGGACTCGGCCCTTGGCACAGCAGGTCGATTGAAACCGCGCCAAGGATGGGAGGAAGGGGTGGCGGACTGAGCTGAGATAAAATCTAGGCCCTCACCGGACAGGTGGAGAAAAATCAAATGGTTTGGACGGCAGAGTGATCAGGTTCCAGACATCAGCGTCACACTTTACCCTTGTGTCACATTGATCTGTCAGCGCGGCGCGAAAAAAGCGCCGTGCCACGCGGAAGAGACAGCTTCAGGGCCGAAAGGAATTACACAGATCCAGTGTGTGCATGCGTGGGTAAGCTTTGGATTCAGAAGTTCAGCTTTAACATGTAATAGCAGCGCGGCAAGGCCTCCAGCAATGAATGGAGGGGAAGTGGATGGAGACGTGCATTGGTGTACCTGCTATGCTTGTGAGTGTTGTAACCACCTTCTACTCGTAGTGGTCGCCACGCTCTTGCAGGATGATTCAATTCAGGTCTGCAGTCATGCATCCGCTGTTATGAAATCGTCTTGAAGAGACTCTTTGAGCCCCTGGGACTGTGAGAGTGTGGACCCTGCTGCACTGTACTCCAGGGCTTGGCGTGTGTGTGTGTGTGTGTTTGTGGGCTTGGGTTCAGGAGCTGTCTTTTGACTTTTTAGCAGGGGCGTACGTGCGCAAGGAAGCTACTGAAGGACGAGGGAGGGGACTTGAACTTCCACTTGGTCCCGTGGTAGCTAGAACAAATGGCCAGCCATCGCAGGCATTGAGTTTTGAACCCTTGGAACCCCTTTGAGGCTTCTTGGTCGAACTCCGCCGCATTTACATGTTCTACTGGGCGGTGTTACCTCGTTTACTCGGGCAAATTATTTTCACTCAGGCCTTTCGGGGAGGTGCTCGGTCCGACTCTGCCCCCCCAAAATAAAAAAATACATATATATATATACTGTGTGTGTGTGCGTCAAGGCAACGCTAGCTATGTGCCAATCTTCTTCCACCCCCCCACTGACGTCAATTCACCCAGAAATA